AGTTTGAGGCCACCCTGGTCTACATAGTGAGTTCCAGGACAGCTGGGGCTACAGGGAGACCCTGTCTCAAAAAAACCAAAAACCAAAAAAAAAAAAAAAAAAAAAGAACCCCACTAAAAGCAAAAAAACTTAGTTGTAGATTTAGTTGTGAGGGTTACACATAATCTATATCTTGCTTATTCATTTGTGTGTGTTGTTGTTGAAGGTCTCAAGGTCTCTTCAGTCAAGTCCAGGACCCATCTGAAGCCTTTGAGTTATAAATGTGCTTCATAGGGATATTTTATTGAATGTGTTTACTAAAACTTAATTGGTACCAAATAAATCATTCTGGCTAAGAATATGAAGCACAGATGTGTCTGATGCTCTGGGAATCAGCTGGGGCTTCCATCTTGCTCTTTTGCCTTCTTTTCTGCTGGATTTCCACATCTGTAGAGCCTTATCTATTGCCTTTCATGGCCACACTGCCAAAAGGCCCTTGGTAATCAGATCCACCTCCAAGTAGAGTTTGTCTTCTTTTATAAGTAAAAAACCATTTCAGCTTTTCCCATGGGAGAGTTTTTGAGTGACTGAGGCCACTCACAAACACTACCAGGGTCTAATTTTATTCCACAAGAAGAAAAAGGATATTTCAGTCTCCTAGCACCTCGTAAGCCTCACTGCCCTAGGTTTGTGGCTTTCTGACTATTTTCCATAGCAGATGGCTTTATGTAAATCTGGCCAGTTATTTTTGTGACTATCACTTTTGTTATAATTTCTAAGTTACTAAAACTGACATGTTTCTTTGAAAACTCACCCAGACCTAGAGGTTAGACCATCTTGTCTGACTGCTCTGCCAACCTACAAGGATGTGATCTCCCACCACAGTGATCCCCTCAAAAGATATCCCTCTATAAAATTCCATAGGTCTACCTGACAGTAGAACAATTATTTCTATTGCGTGTTTGTTCACCATCTTTTTTTTTCTTTTTGAGACAGGGTCTTACTCTGTAGCACTGGCTGTCCTTGCTACATGGCTGTTGCTATGTAGACCAGGCTGGCCTCAAACTCACAGAGCTCTACCTGCCTCTGCCTCCTGAGTGCTGAGTACCAAGCCCAGCCCTTATTAACCATCTTTAGGAATGTCAGTTATTAGTATGCTAATGACTATGCTATCTTTGAGATTTCATAGCTATTTTAGACAGAGGTCAATTATCAATAGTATTCAGTGCGTTTCTTCTTTTTCCTTTCCTAGAAATTACTTTTTCAAGATTTATTTTAATTGTGTGTATATGCATGCACATTGAGTGCTGGTGCCCATGGAAGTCAGAAGGAGACATTGGCAGTTACAGGCAATTGTGAGTTGCCTAACATGACTGCTGGGAACCAAACTCAGTTCCTCTGTAAGAGCAGCAAGCACTCTTAACCATTGAACAATCTCTCCAGTCCCTTCCTGGAAATTGTTAAATCTCTTTAACTTTCCTTGAAGTAATTTCTACAAACCCAGTGCTTCTTTTCCCTTTCTCTTTCTTCCTCCCCTCAATGATTGCCAGGTGTATCCTACCCATAGTCCTCTGCCAGCTGCATGTACCCCAGGAGAGTTACGAATCCAGTCCAACATAAAAATTGTTAACTTGCTTAAACATTATGAGATTCTTTCTGTGACTTTGTTTTTGTAACTCGGTTCCGAGGTTCTTAAGAGTCAACTTTGTAGATGCCTCAGTGTTAAAAGTGTATATGGCTTGTGTGTTAATAGATCAAGCAATCATCTTGCAGAATGACTCTTACAAGTTCACTGAACAAATACCCCACCCACTCCTGTTGCTGCTGCTGTTATTGTTGTTGTTTGTTGTTGGTGTTGTTTAAGGCAATCTTACATAGCCCCAAGCTGGTCTTGAACTCATTATATAATCAAGAATGACCTAGAACTTCTGATCCTCCTCTACCACCTCCTCAGTGCTAAGATGACAGGAGTGACACCAGGCCTGGCTACCTTATTTCTTGAGTATCAAGTGAATGCCCAGAGAATGAGCAAAAGCCTTGACAAGCATATGCTACTTGTGACCTTGGCTAAGGGTTGCCCCTTAGATGGTACTGCATCTGGACAGTTCACTAATACCACACTTTGGTAAATAATATCACATATTAATACTGTGTTAGTTGTGAGCTGGAAATTTTTCTCGGCATTCCGTTCCTGTGTGCATCCACTTAAAAATGTCAGCATACTTAGTGTGTCTGATTTATCTTTTTCAGGTTGAAAATTGGTGTCCTCATTTACCTTGGAGAGCAAAAAATTCCTATGAAGAAGCTGATCATAACTCATTGGTAATTAATTTTGGAACACTCTTCCTCCTCTTGTGCATTTAGGTCAGGTGCTAAGTGATGCACATAAGCATCTTTTAGAAGTACCAGCTGTAATCTGAAGCATGGCTGACCAAATTAGTCAACCAGATAGTATAGATTTATGTATTAAGCATTTTTCTGAAGATCTCTAAATGAGGGGTCACTGACAAGAATGAGACCAGATGCCAGATGTGGAGGCCCTGGGTGTTCTAATGAGGTGGGTGGGGGTGGCTGTAAATAATGACCATGCCTGTCACCAGGCTTTAATGCCTGCTGAGGGGATTGATGAGGAAGACACCATCTCAGCTATGGAGGTCAGGGTAGATTCCATAGAGAAGATGATGAGCTGAATTTAAAAGGATAAGCAATGTTCTGTGAGGTAGCGACAGAATAGTGTCTCTGAGGAAGCTGGTCCATGGTATGGAAGAACATGCTGGGGCGGAAAAAGTCACAGAGGTTTGGACTGAGCTGAGCTGAAGATGAGATGGGAAAGATAGAAAGGGACTGTGGAGGCCTTCCAAAGCTGTCTTGAAAACGTAAGCATTATTATTTGTATACATATGTGTGTGTGCTTGTATGCGAGTACGTGTACCACATGCATACAGGGGCCTGTGGAGGCCAGCAGAGGATATTAGATCCCCTGAAACTGGAGTTATAAATGGTTATGAGCCACTATGTGGGTGCTAGGAACTCAACCTGGGTCCTCTACAAGAGCAGAAAGGGCTCTTAACTACTGAGCCATCTCTTCATCCCTAAGCACTTTCTTTAAAAGGGTAGATGGGGCCTGGGGATGTAATTCAGTTGGTGGAGTACTTACACAAAGCCCTGGGTTCACTGCATAAACTGGACATGGTGGTGCATACCTGTAATCTCAGCACTTGGAAAACAGAGACAGGAGAATTAAAAGTAGTCAGCATCATCCTTGGCTACATAGAGAGTTCAAGGATAGCTTAGGCTACATGAGTCCCCATCATATACAAAAATAAAACGGCCAGCAAAGATGGCTTAGCAAGTTAAGGCACTTTCTGCCAAGCCCTATGATCTGAGTTTGATCCCTAGGACCCCCATGATAGAACAAAAGAGTTAGCTCCCCTAAACTGTCCTCTATCTTCCCCATGCACATGCAATACATGCACACACAATATAAATAAATAAATAAATAGTATTTAATAAATGAAAATTTTTATGACTCAGACAGTAAATATTTTCCTCTTTGCCAGCCATGCAATGTCTCTACTCAGTTCTGCCATTGTAGCACAGAGAACAGCCATGGATGATATATAAATGAAGGACATGGCTCTAGTCCAATAAAACTTTCTTCTGGAGATTATTGGGTCTAAGAGGGAGATTGATGACTAGAAGGAGCCATGGAGACTGCTGGGAGATGAATCCCGTATGCTTGAGATGTCTTGTGAAATAAAAGCTGATAATGACCTGTTTCTCTCATGCTCGAGTCAGGGGCTGTATCCAGAATACTAGGAAAAAATATTCTTCTTGAACTAAATTACTCTGGTTTAAATTTTAAATTGTATTTGGTTGTGGCAGGAAAATACTATCCCTAGTTTTTAAATTCTTTAGAAAATCATAAATTTTGTTAGTTTGGACTGGGACAAAACTAGGAAATTAGTATTTATTTCCCCATTTGACTCTGAAAGAGGCTCTGGCATCTTGCAGTGTCAGCTGACCTGTTTAGAGCTGATGTTCTTTTCCCAAGTGGTCAATTGATTAGCGAGTAGATCCAAGAAGCAAATCAATTTTGGTGCAGAGAATTAGGGTGCATCAGATCAGATATATATATATATATATATATGATCCATATATATATATATGGAAAACTGCATTTCAACATAACTCAGGCTTTGCAATGACTGTACATTGTCAATCTCTTAATTTTTTAATGACATCCCTCATAGCAGATGAGCAGTCAGGGATCTTTGCTGTCCTAGATATGCTTTGTTTTCAAAAAAATTCTCTTACATTTACTTATTTGTGTGGAGTGGAGGGAGGGACACCATATACGGGCCACAGCAAGTTTGTGAGGGTTCAGAGGACCACTTCCAGGAGTTGAATTTCTTATTCCTCCCTGTGGGTCCCAGGGATGAACTCAGATTTTCAGGCTGGGCAGCAAGCGCTTTTACTCACTGATCCATCTCACTGGCCCTAGCCCCAGGTACTCTTAAGTAAGAGCCATGGAAAAAGTCAAGATTAGCTTTTGAAACCCTGAATTTAATTGACTCTCTTTCAAGTTTTCAAATGTCACATTAAGATAACCATTTTGTTTCCCAGTGTCTTAATATTCTAGTTTTATTGTATTTCTCTCCCCCCCCCCAGGCGGAAATTCGTACAGATTTTAACATTCTCTACAAAATGATGAAGAAGCACGAGGAGTTCCGGTGGATGAGACTGCGGATCCGGCGAATGGCTGACGCTTGGATTCAAGCGATCAAGTCTCTGGCAGAGAAACAAAACCTTGAAAAGAGGAGACGGAAGAAAGTGAGTTTCTTAATTCAGTTCTGTTAGATGCCAGCTTTCTTTTAAGAGTTGAATTTGCTTGGAAACAAGATCAAGAGAGATGTCATGTGTCGATGATATCCTGTCAGGGTGAATCAGCTCAGTTCTTCTCACCCCATTTTGGTGTTTTCTTTCCCACAATGCTGTTCTTTTAGCATAGGCCAGCACAAATTCCTCGGATGAAGCTAAGCAGAATTTCTGCCGGTCCGAGTTTTCTTTGAACTACCTGATTGTCTCTAAGGGTGTAAGGAAACTTTGCCCTTTTTCTTTACCTGAATCCAGCTACTGAGAATTTCCTGCTATAATCACAATGGAAAGTTCACACTTCAGTCTTTTGTCCACTCCTGGGGTTTGGGCAGCTCATGAGTTCTGTGCCTGCTCTATCTGCTTGGTGCTTCTGTCTGTGTACCTGGGAAAGATTTATTGAACTTCAGTCACTTTGGTTTGGTTCATAAGAGGTGATTGGTAAGATCTTCTGTCCAGGCTGGGAGGTGGCTCAGTCATTCAATAAAGTGCTTGCTGCACAAGCAGGAGGAACTGAGTTTGATCCCTGGAACTAAGTGAAAAACAAGGTGTGTGTTACAGGATTGTAATTCCAGAGCTTCAAAGGGAGCTCCCTAGCCTAATTAGTAAGCTCCAGGCTAGTGAAAGACCTAGCTCAAAAACCAAGGTGAGGTTGGGGAGATGGCTCAGTAGATAAGAGTGCTTGCTGCACAAACAGGAGGACCTGAGTTCAAGTCCTCAGAACCCACATAAAAATCCAGATGTGGCTACATGCATGTGCACCTATAACCTCAGCAGGGGAAGTGCGGGGGGTCGGGGGCTGGGGGGGATGGAGATGACACAACAGAGTTACGAGGATCATTGAGATATGCTCACCAGCCTCACTCTAGGTTCAGTGAAAGACACTGCCTCAGGGGAATAAGGCAGAGAGTGATAGAACAGGGCACCCAAGATTCTCCTCTGGCTTCTGTGCAAGAGTGCGCAAGTGCACAGAAAATACAAGATGAATGGCAACTGAGGAATGACACCCAAGGCTTCCACACCCACATGCACACACACTCAAGAAGCACATATCCACTTCCCCACACAAAAACAAGGCCTTTATACTAAAAGTTATACATTAAGCAACATGGCTTTGGAACTCTTCAGATTTCAGAAAAGAAATTCTGAAAAAATGAGTTTAGAATTCCTTATATGACTCATTTTAGCTCATTGGAAAAGAAAATACACTATGCTTTTTAAGACACCCCCCTCCCGCCCAGGTCCCTGTTTGATAGTGCGGCTTTACTAAGATCCTATCCATTGGTAAGACAACATAACAAACATTCTTTGGTCATAGAGTTGTATATGGAACAGCATGTGGTCAGATGCTAAAAATAGGCTCTAAAAATTAAAGATGTTTCTAAGTAGTTCTATGGAATAATCTTCAGGAAATATCTTTAGGTTAAAAAAATAAGGTAGAGAATAGCTATATTGTTAAAGGGCGCGAGTACACGTATATAGACATGTGTATTATGTGTAAGTAATACATGTGCTGTGGTTTGAAAGTGAAATGTCCCCCGTGGGCTCATGTGTTTGAGCAGTTGGTGTACAGCTAGTGGTGCTGTTTGGGAAGACTGTAGAAGCTTTCTGAGGTTGACCCTTACTGGAGAAGTGGGTCACTGAAATGGGCCTTGAGATTTGCTTGCCCAGTCCTGTTTCCTGCTCACCCTACTTCCTAACTATGGATGTAATATGACCAGCAAACCTCAAACTCCTGCCACTATACCTTCCCTACCTTGATGGACTGTATACCCTCAAACAGTGAGCCCAAACAAGCCCTTCCTCCCTTAAGGTACTTCTTGTCAGTTACTTGGTCACAGTAACAAGAAAGTAACTAATAACAATACATATCTTTATTGCTCCTGTTTTTTTTTCCAAATTGAATGATAAACATCATAAAATAGAAACTAGACCTCTCAATGTCATGCTTTTTGGTTTGACACTAGAACCAGTACATAGTGTGAACTATTTAATTTTTAAAGGCCATATCTAAAAATCATAAGGAAAATAAAGCAGCTGAGCTAGCTGCTTACCCATCCAGTTTTGATATAAGCACATGAAAGATTACTCTTCACACTTGTAGAACACAGCTAATTGAACAAAGAGAACTTTGAAAACATTTTAAAACAATTTTTGTGATATTCTCATTCTGAATCCATTGTGAATATTGGAGTACAGAAAATGATTAATTATGCGACTGTCTTTGAGAAATAGAATTTTCATTGTAGGAGAGGAAATAACAGATGAATGATAGATAATATTATGTAAAGATAATGGAATCTTCAGTTAGAATTGGCAGTACCAGTAAGAATACATTCATTTTATCTTTGAGGAAAAATAAAGTTCCTAGCTAGTTCCCCTGAAAAAGTCTCCAAACAGCAATTAAGTTGTGTCCCTTAAGCACTGGTCTTTGATCATTAAATGCTTTTTCTACTAGATGATATAAGTGGTTCTTGGGAAAATGACTCATTAAGATCTGAGATAGAAATTGTACTTGATAAGCTTAGAACATCTTGTCATACCCAAGAACAGGAAAGCTATCAAAGGCAGCTAGGATTCTGGCCAGAGAATAGAGGTGCCAGCTACAACAGCCTCCCCCTGGCCAAGCTGGGACAGCTGGATAGTCATGGCAACAACTACAGTTCACTGAAATACATTAAATATTCTTGAAGCAATGGTTTTATATTTAAAAACTAAGCAAACCTCATAGATCATAATTAGAGTATGCTTAAACAACAGACTTGGTGCACTGGGGAGATAACTCAGTTGACAAAGGGCTTTCTGCATAAGCATGAAAACTTGAGTTCCAACCCTAGAACCCACATAGAAAAGCCAGGTATAGTGGCACATGCTTTTAATCCCAACCCTAGAGAGACCAGACTGGAAGACAGGAGGATCCCTGGCACTCACGGGGCAGCCCATCCAACCTATTCCATCTCCCCTGTGCAAGGATTATAAGCATGCACCCACTGCTCCTGGCTTTTAAATTTGCCTCCAGGGATCTGAACTCAGGTCCTTGTGATTGTGCTGCAAGATCTTTACTGACTGAGTCATCTCCCCAGCCATATATCTCATTTTGTAAAACCAGGATAGTCTGTCTGTAAGTCACATTCATAGCAGTACCAAGAGCAGTTAATGGTTTTATTATTTGTCTAAAACGGAAAAATTATCTTTCTTTGTTTTGTACCTGCTAGAAAAATGGCTTACCCCTACTGTGATTTCATTGGGATGCTTAGAATTGGTTAGTTGCTTTGTGGTGGGGCTGCCTCAGTGTGGACTTTGAACTTTGCTCCAGAAGTCAATACGTGCTTTCTCTTTTGTCTTCCAGGTCCTGGTTCACCTGGGGCTTCTGACTAAGGAATCTGGCTTCAAGATCGCAGAGACGGCATTCAGCGGTGGCCCTCTTGGTGAACTAGTTCAATGGAGTGATTTAATTACATCTCTGTACCTACTGGGCCATGACATCCGGATCTCAGCTTCACTGGCTGAGCTCAAGGAGTAAGGAGATTACTTTTCAATTTGAAAAATCAGAATACAAAAAAGAAATAATAAACTCCTAAAGCCCCTCTATTAGTGTACAATTTCTTGTGGAGGAAAATGAGAGTGATAATTCGCTAAACAGGAGATAAGAAGATTATTTTCAGAAGTTAAATACATACTCTATAAAAAGGATAATGTGTTTTCATTGGCACTGCAGGCTCTCGGGGCCTCATAAATGAACGCCAGAAAACTCAAACTAAGGCGCTTATTCTTTGCTATTCCAGGTGTTTCCAACATCTGCAGCACAAGACTTTATTGCCTTGCCTAATTCCCTGTCTCTTGCTGAAATTCATACCACTCCCTGCTTAATATAAAAAGCCTTTCTGAATCTTAAAACAGGGCAGGTTCCTGTTTATAATTTAATTTGAGTAAAATGGATTTCCTGAAAGCCCCAATCCAATCCTTTTCCAATTAGCTAACTTCCAACTCAGTCTATTCACTCTTCCCAGCTCTTCTGTTCCACTAAGATTTGCATCTAGCTCTCTCCCCCTTCTCAGTCCCTTTTCAGTTAGCACAACTGGCCAAACAGAGGCACTTGGGTGCCTGAAGTCCCCACATAACTACCTGTAGAGACTTCTAACCCAGCTTGCAAGTTGTCAGGTTGCAGTTCCAGACCCTGGAAGAGCATTTTAGAAACAGTAGAGATATTATATATTAAGATGAAAAGCAGTGATGTCCTAAGATAATGTCAGAGATCATTTGTCAGTGATTCCCAGGTGCCTAGTACATGATAAATGTTTGTTTACAGCAGTAGTATCAAGAACTCTGCCAGTGATATTGGGACTTTTTTTTTTTCATTTTGAGACATGGTCTCATATAGCCCAAGCTGGCCTCCAACTTGCTTTATGTAGTTGAGGATGACCTGGAATTACTGATCCTTCTGGGAGTACTGGGATCACAGGTGTGTGCCACCACACCCAGTTTATATAGTTCTGGGGAATGGAACCCAGGGCTTCCTGCATGCTAGACAAGCACTCTACCAACAGAGCTCTATCCCCAGCAATGATAGTCGCTATTAAGAATTAACACTGGTCCCCTTACTGTGCTCCAGATATTAAGAACTTTACATTTAAACCTCTTTATTTTATTATTAATATGTGTGTGAGAGTGCAGGTGCCTACATGCCAACAGTGTGTGTGTGTGTGTGTGTGTGTGTGTGTGTGTGTGTGTGTGTGTGTGTATCTCCTTCCATCGTGGTTCCAGGAATTGAACTCAGAGTATCAGGCCTGCACAGCAAGTGCCTTTACCTGATGAGCCATTTGCCAGCCCATGTATATTATCATGTTTAAAACTTAGCACCTGGCGGTAGGTGCCATTCTTAATATGTGTTTTAGATATGAGGAAACTGAGGTTCAAAGTAAACCTGAGTTGTCTAATGTTTCAGGGTATGCGTATAGGTGTCCCTGGATTTGAGCCTTGTATCTGAGTTCCATGCAGCCTCTACCCCCAGTCTTACCAGAGCTAGATGAACTTGAGGTCCTTTGAGCCTTAATCAGCACTCTTTTTCCTTTACCAGGCTGCCCCAGTCGCCTTCTTCATGCTTGCATTAAAATCCATGGGGCGCAGGACCTATAAAGTCATGCATTTTGCAGTCACTCTGTCTGCCATCCGTGGGCTGGGATTTGGTATGGGGCCTACAGAGATGACCAGCATGCAGTTACACAGATGCCAGTCTTTTGATAATTACAACTAATGCATTAAATAATAATTATACTAATTATAATTCTGTTAGCACTAATTGAGGCATGGATGCTAGAATGTAAGTATAGGGAGTGCCAGAAACTGAATCTTCTCACCACTGTGTACTTAGCTCTTACATAGTTTCTAGGGCACTCTGGCTATTGAAGGAATGAAAGATGGAATGCAGAAGGGAGTCAGGGAGTGGGTGGATGAACAAATGAAGGACGGTGAAGGAGCAGGCCCAGGAATGGCCTGGGAGCTCGGGAAGGTATATTAGGAATGTACCCTATGGAGAACGCCTTGATGTTCAAGGGCAAATCAGTAGTGGTCTTTATGCACTTTGGGATGAGGGCTAGATATACTTGCTTTGTTTTGGATTTTTGTTATTGTTTGGTTTTTTTGATGCAGGAGCTCATGTAACCCAGGCTAGTCTCAAAATCTCTAATGTAGCTAAGGATGACCTTGAACGTCTACTCCTCCTACCTCCACCAAGTTCTGGAGTGACAGGAATGCATCACTAAACCCAGTTTATGTGATGCTGGGTATTAAACTCAGAGCTCCATGTATGTTAGGCAAGCACTCTGCCCACTGAGCACATCCCCAACCCCTAGATATGCTTTATTTACAGAGAAAAGAATTGTAAAAGCAACACAGGCCAGTGGCCCCCAAATCTTGCCTGCTCATTAGAATCAGTTAGGAATCTTTTCATTTTCATTTCTCAAAGTTTGTGGGCTCTCCTTCAAATCCCCACGGACCATTCCCAGAGTGATTAAGTGATAATATTTGGATATAGGTCACCACATAACTGTTTTGTGATAGCTGCAGTAATTCACCTGTTCAGATAAGATCAAGAACCAGTGAATGTTGTGTGAACCCATGGGTCAGTGGACCAAACCCAGCCCTCTGCCCGTTTTTGTCAGTAGTTTCTGGGAGCAGAGCCATGCCCGCTGTTACTTACTTATGGCTGCTTCCATCCTGCCTTGGCAAAATTGAATAATTGGGACAGAGAATATACAAGGACAAAAAAAAAAAATCTAGCCTTTCATGGAGAAAGTTTTCCAGCTCTTTGGAAGAAATTGGTTCTACTAAGCCTGCCTTCTTCCAGAGCCCGGAGAAGAGGCAGAAGGTGTCTAAAGCAGTGAGAGTATGAAACTGTAGAGCAGAGGCCTGTTGTGACTCCTGTCCTTTGAAGTAGGATTTTTGTAAGTTGGTCAAGGATTACTGTGGGCATGAGCAGAGATACGAGTCAACAACGATAATTGGTTTCTGGGTACACAGCAGTTACCCTTTAGATTTACTCTGACATATCAAGTTCACATACCAATCAAGTACATTGTCATTCTATTAGCACAAAGGCAGTTTTGAATGTCAGGGTGGGTCAGTGGGTGAAAGAAAAGTTAATGAGAAAGTTTAAGTCACAGTGCCAGTTCTGTAATGCAGTCATTAGGAAAATGGTGCAAGACTGGGAAGAAAGTAATTAGTGCCATATAAGCTGGAAACTGAAGGTGTTTAGGGAATACCAAATGCAAGTGACAGAAGAATACCATGTTTTTTTCCATATTTGTTGTGTGACTTTTCCTGGGGAGATGTGAACAAATATCTACTGTAGATAGTCCCCCAATGAAAGGCCAAAGAACTAATTCCACCCAAGTCGAGCATAATGAACCAGTGAGTTCATTGGGTTTACTTACAGGAGGAGGGGTGACTCAAAGGCAGCTGCATCACCAAAAAGCCTACCCCAGTATGGGTAGCAACTCAGGAAAGCTGTGTCCCTCAGACTCCCTGCATGACTTCCAGACAGCTGGATTCATCAGACAGACTTCTCTGCCACTGTTACTTAATATACCCTTGGGGTGGGACCTTGTGAATCTTGTAAGTTTCAGTAACTTCTTAAGACTTGTGAATTTTGTTGACTCCTGAGCCTTGTACATTTGATTTCCTGAGTTGAAAGGAGCCCTGCTCCAGAAGGGATTATTTCAGTTTAGAAGAAATTGCTGCACTATAGTATTCGATCCCCCCTTTTTTTTTCTAGAGGATGGTGGGAGGAAAGATTGAGAGGCAAGAAGTAAGTTGGCGATCTTGTAGCTGCTCCACTGTGGAGATGGATTGGAGTCACATCTTCAGGACTTCATGGACCATATTTATACATATTTCCCCAGATCAGTCTGGGAGCTCTGGATCAGCCTATGAGTGGGAGGAGATGCAATGGACTTGGAAGTGCAAGCCCGTTGTCTCTAATAAGGACTTGAGAGATGGCTATTAACCTATTAAATTTGCCTGGTTTCATACTATAAAGTTAATGATTTGTTTTCTTTTCTTCTTCCTCCTGCTCTCCAGGATTATGAAGAAAGTTGTGGGAAACCGGTCTGGTTGCCCAACTGTAGGTGACAGAATTGTTGAACTCATTTATATTGACATCGTGGGACTCACGCAGTTCAAGAAAACTTTAGGACCATCTTGGGTTCATTACCAGTAAGCATTACTTGTTCTTCTTACTTAAGATTTTAGGATATTTTTCTCCCAACAAGGATTGCATGGTTGCAGTTTTTTTAAAAAAAAGATGATTAATTATTATCTTTTGAACTGTGTGGAGTATGTTTCTCATTCCTACTAGAAATTTAGGTCTTTCACAGTGACTGTGACTAAAGTTATTCATTATTTCTGTAGATGTTGAGAATAGAAAACAAGTATCTAGCCACCTCCCCATTCACCTTCCCAAGTACCTGGCATTCCTCTCTCCGTATGCCTATGTGGACCTCATGCATTTAATCAGATAATGGATTTTCTTATTTATTTATTTATTTATTTATTTATTTATGTGTTTATTTTTTTATTGTGTATATATGTATGCATGTCTGTGGGAGCATAGATGTGTGCATGCCACAGCACACATGTAGACAGAAGACAACTTTTGGAAGTTGGTTCTCACCTTCCACCTTGATGAGTCAGGGGCTCTCCTG